ATTTCATTTTAGTGAGGAGGGGAGAGGGTGTCGGAGCATGTGGAAGAGCGATTTTTCTTTGGGGAAAGGGATGAGGGAAAGAAAGATATGTGTACGAACCAGGTCACTGCAAAGGACGTGCATATGGCATGGCTCCTCACGAGCGTCGAATCCTCTCTGCGTCCGTAGTTCTTCAGAAATGCTGTGAACGTGAGACTGGTTTCCCCAAGCCAAGCTTCGTACTTTGAGATTCACGATTGGCTGCGGGAAAGGACTATCAGAAGTCTTCTCCATACTCTATCCAAGAGTTTACCTTTGAACCGCGCTGCTGGTCATACTTCGCATCCACAGCAATATTATCAAGTCGCTCGTTTTTCCATTGTTCCATCTGCATCCTAACATTCTCCTCCATCAACGTGCATACTTCTGGCAGGTCCGTCAGGATCACGGTAGAATCCCTGGCCGTCTTCCCGGCACATGCACAATCTTTCTTAGTAGTAGCACCATCACGATCACTCGAGTCTAGATCTTGATTCTGATAGTGTCTAAAAATGGCACTATCTGCCCTGGAATATCGAATCGCCAAGCCCTCTGCCGCCACAAGACCAACCGAGCCCATTCCCGAGCCAAGCTCCAGAACGACCTCTGGATAATCTAGGGAAAAGCTCGAGCTGTGATTTTCCTTTTCTGGATGTTGTTGTTGTACACCGTGTGTTAGGGGCATGGATGATCCGCCACCATATGCACCGTTACCAGTGCTCCTTGTCTCCAACTCTTGGGAAACCCCGTGAAAACTAATGGCGCCTCCTTCTCGGTCAAACGGCCAATTGGGATCGTATTCGACGTCCGAGTAAAGGCTCGAGTCTTCCTCGTCGCGTCCACGAAGACCGTGTCCATGCGTCCCGTTCGAGAGGTAGCTCGTCAGCAAATAGGACGCTTCCCTAGACACCAAAAATCAAAAACACCCATTCATCATCGAGTTTAGAGTTTTAGAGTTTATCCAGTTTTCAAAAATTTCCTAGCAGTGAGTCAAAGAATGATCCAGCTAGACTTGGGGGAATAGGGACACAACCATACTCGGCCTGTGAAGCCACGACATACATGATCCAAGGAAGAAATAAAGTGCATCAATAAAGCTCCAGTCGTGTGAGAGTACATCACTCACCTGCGATGCCATATTTCTCAATCGCTTCCATCTGACGGTCACTTGTGGCGAAGATACCTTCCACATGATCGCCCTTCTTGATGGAGGGTACAATTTTTAATGCATCAGGAAAGTTGAGGGCATTGTATGTGCTCATGATTTTTGGTAATGAAGCGGCGTCTACTGTTGTCGAGGGAAAGAAGGATGCATGCAATTTGGGTGCCACTTGATCCGTTCATACGTTCAACACGATTCTTCAAGCGAGAGAATCATTATGGGATCTACGACGGTTGATTTTTTGTTTGTTTTGTGTGCATATGGCGGGTGTATGGAGAGCGAACGGCCAAAGCATGCTTCACCATGCTGAGAAGCCGTCAGCAGCATGGCAGTAAACAACATTCGACGGGAAAATAGATAATGCCGGATTCTCACAAATAGCCGCAAGGTTAAAATTATAAAACTTTGTAGAATCAATGACAAGTATGTACTTGTTATACGACAGTAAAGTAATGGAAACGAGTGACAGCTGTGGAGGGACCACAATGGAATGGGAAAATGTCTCCCTGGCAATAATAAACAATAACAAGATGTCCGTATGATGATGAGTAGTATTATGAGTGGCTGACACAAACAGGTGTGTACGCCCAAATGTTTGTGCATGTCAAAAAGGTGTTCCTGTAGTGAGAGGTCAATGTGAGCTCCGAATGAGGAGAACGATAGGCGCACCATGCTTGAATCTGCGAGCTGGTTGTTCCGTACTCTCGGGCAATGCTTTCGCATGTATCCCCGCTTTTTGCGGTGTAGGTCCTCGTACATTGCGAAACACCTCCAGGTGGGATGCAGACCGGAGTCCATGCCCCTATAGGTATTTTGTGAGTGATTTCAATTAAACTGAGGGCAAAAACGTACAAATGTTGTTGCAGTCGAGATATGTGTTGGCGCTTTGAATGTTTGAGGCAGTCAAACCATACTAGAGCGTAAACGTGGTTAGAGATATCACTGACTGAAAGTAGTCCAGTTGATCTCACCTTGGTGGCAATGGATGCGCAAGTATCTCCAGCAACACTAGTGTAGGTGCTCGCACAGGTTGGCGTTGCTGCTACAGAGGATGACGTCCCAGTAGGAGTAGATCCACCCACGATGCAAATAGGAGTACCCGCCCAGATGTTGTTGCAATTCAGGAAAGTGTTGGCGGTCTCCACATCATGCGCGGTTATCTCAAATTGAGCAGCGATACTCGCGCAGTTGTCGCCAGCCTTGCTATAATAGGTGCTCGTACAAACGACGGGTGAAGATGTCGAGCTGGTTGAAGTTTGTGATCCTCCTAATTAAATCGGTTATTATGAGCGATACTATAAGCTAGGAAGATAGGACACTAACCTGGTGGAATGCAGATGGGTGTCCATTCCCCTGTACATTGTCATCAATCATTGAACTTTGACACGCGAGAGACATGAACAACTTACAGATGTTATTACAGTTTACGAAGTTGTTGACAGCGGAAATGGCGGCAGCGGTGTGTCCAAATTGTGTACCAATGGAAGCACAGGTGTCACCGGCGCGAGCAGTATATGTGCTCGCGCAAGTAGTGGAAGCGCTTTGTGTCGCAGCGGAGCTAGAAGAGGTGGAAGTAGTAGTTCCGGTGGCCGTCGCGGTTGGAGAGTCGCTAGTAGGGATACACAGTGTAGTTCCCGCCCAGATATCCTCGCAGTTGACGAACGAGTTGGCGGTCTTGATCGCATTGCCAGAGACACTAAATTGGCTACCTACAGCGTCACAAGTCGTACGAGAAGGTGTAACGTGCATAGAAGCACAGCCAGACGGGAGATTGGATGCAGTTGAAGTTGAAGTTGCCGTTGAAGTTGAAGTTGATGCCTGGGTTGATGAAGTGGTCGTCTGTGGATCTTCGCAGGTCCATGTCTCGTCTTTTTCACCAAAGTAGCCTGTGACAGTCTCATAGGCTGCCATACCCAAGCAATCAGCAGTGGTGACCAACTGCATCTGGCGACTGGTGAAACCGTTCAGAGTTCCTTGTTCTAAGGCGTAATAGGAGCCATCCACCGTCTCGTGAGACAAGGTCATGTGGGGTCTCCCTGCGCCCGTTTGCGCGAGGTTGCTATAAAAGTTATAATTCCAATCAGTATCAGGATACCCGCTTGCATCTTTGGAATCTTCTGTCCATAAGACAATGGTCAACCCAAACTTTTGTTGAATATAGGTTGCAGCCGTGTCGTTGATGGCACCATATGGAGGTCTAGTTGGTTGTATTAGCCATGGCATACCCGCTGGATCTATGTGCATACCTATAGAATTTGGGTTTAACACCAAGAATTCGGACGAAAGCTTGGTTGAGGCGTTCAATTTCTGTATCAATCTCTTCATAGCTCAATGTGGTGACATCTCGGTGACTACAATAAATATCAGTCGAAGCACTTGAGTGTGAGACCGGCCTACTCACCCCCACTATTGTCATTGCGGGTACACATTAGGATCAGATTAAATGATTCATGTCAAAAGTAGAACGAACCCCATGGTGAGCAAGCTGATGCCCAGCGTTATAGGAGGCCCGGATCGCCTCGACATTGTCGTCGTCGTAGCTACAGAGATTCGAAATCTTCAGTAAGGTTTATTCAACGTATATTATATGCGGCTCACATGCACGACCAATTGTTGCCATTAATGACTGCACCATGCATCAGATCAGGTTGCAACAGAGGAACGATTGATACCCACAAAAGGTTGTGTGACCGTTAGCGGCAGTGAAAATATCACCAATGTCCGTGTGATGTTCTAAACGAGTATTAGATTGGTATGAATGTAAACAGTCCTACTTACTGTAAGGTCCCTAAAGGCGAATGGAAATTAGATCAGCTGCTCGAC